TTTTCTTTCTTGCATTTAATTCGAAATTCTAACCAAACAATGTAAATATAAGTTAGGTGCTTTGTTATGATAATGATTACTTTTGTGGTTATAGTTTCATCACTGGTACAATAAAGTTGATCAGATAAATGTATCTAAGAGTTCTTTTAACCACCATTTGATTGACGGCTATCACCTGCTATAAATAATTCTAGTAATTAAATTACTGAAAAGAAAATCTTCAACAATTTATCCCATATTGTCAGTGCTTATATCTATCAAAACGCATGTAAGAGTATTAAAAGAATTTAGAACTGGTTAAAAAGATAAGGATGGATTTCTATTGACTAAATACCTCTAAATACTAATTGTGATATTTGACACAATGAGAAATGTGAAGAGTTTTGTTCTATGGTTTACTTGTAGTTCACTTAGATAAGTCACAAACACAATACTTCAGAGCTTAGTTTCTTACCTTTACAAAAATTAAATTGGCTTCAACAAACGAAGTGTTGTCTTGCAGATGAAATTGGTATCATTTATTAGTTAATGTTAGTGTAGAATTAACATTTCATACTTCGCAAACGCTCAACAAATATGTAGGAGGAAATTGAGATGGATAGGACACACGCCACTGAAGAGGCAGTCGAATGATATCGCGCTCCAGGCCATAGCTCGAGTGAAATCCCAATGGGAAGCGACGAGTGGGTCATCAGTGCGAGGGTAACATGGAAGAAATCGTGCAAGATGAGAGATTGAGGGCAGTCGTGGACCCCACTGAAGAGGACAGCACCAAACAGAACAAAGCAGAGATGTGGTGTTGAAGCCCTATGTTCTACTCGGAACCCAAAGGAATAATAATAATTTGCAAACGCAAAAACAGTATGAAGTATACTTAAATATCACTTCAAAAAAGAATTTATTGGTACTCTGTTGACTTCAGATTACTTTAAAACCACACGAGTAATACCTAATGATTTTACCGGACATTTGGTCTTAACTAAAGAAATATACGACTCAATAAAGCCACATTTCACGACTGCAGATGCTATGTGCAAAATCAGTTTAAGATTGTTTTAACATAACAGTAGGCTACCGTCGTTACGACAAATAACTAACACGAGTATATCCTTAATTATAACAAAAACATAGTCCTTGCCTCACAGTGACATTTATCTAGCAATTCGTACTGAAATATTTAGAATTACCAAGCTGCAAATATGACTAACCATAGGCTATTATTAACAGTAGGTTTCATCATGTCATCGACCTGATTCTATTGTAAATGATGCAGTGTCCAGTAAGACAGGTATAAACATGTAGTCGCTCTTAAGCCAACAATGTTTGTACATGTGATAAGTTAGTCAATTACAACGGAAAAGTCCATCAAGAAAACTCGGACTTAATGGCAGATAAATTTTGACATCCCTCTGATATTCATAAGTCATCTCCGACTAAAGGATTAAAAACTGACATCTATCCTCAAAAAGACAGTGATTAGCCTTTACTTACTTTTATCTGCCCCATTTATATAAGTATTGATTTTGTAGGGATTTCTGTTTGATTATTTGGAGGATTTCATCATGAGCTGACATCAGCGAACCACTGGAAGACCTGGGAGTAGTGGACAACCGTTTCTTCCTTGTCTGGGACTTTTCAGGAGCACGCACCCACCGGGGTTCGAACCCAGGACCTTCAGGTTACAAGGCGAGCTAGCTCGTAGACCATTGAGCCACTGGGACCCGATTCAACAGTCCTTGAATTCTAACTTCTACCAATTCACGACACAGTGCGACTATTTCGCAATGTCTTCTTCCATGAGTTACTGCCTCATCTTCAACCTGCTATACCCTACTGGTATTGTTAGTATTGTCTTAATAGTAATTATGAAGTGTCACTTTTAAAAATTCAATTTGGTTTTACTATACTGTTCATGATTATACAACTTCACACTGGGTGTTAGCCTAGTACCCCAGTTGTAACTGTCATCCACTTATAGGAGTGATTATCTATTCTTTCTAGCTAGCACCTGACTGAACTGACTCTACAAATGACACTGAACATTGAATTCTAGATGTTGTTGTGGTTTTTTATTAACAAAGTGAATTAACCTTACCAGATTTATTTGCTTCCCTTAATTCATTTGATTATATCAATCAAAGTGGGTTTTTTTGTGTGTGTATTTACCAGTAAATACATTTAGACTGTATAATAAGACTAAAAACAACTGTAATCAAACAATGAAAACACTCTACACATTACTTTTCAGTAGAAAAATACACCATATAAACTTGTCATACACTTTATTATCTTTAAACACTGAATTGAAATAAAAATGACCAGATTGAATTTTTATCTTGATAACGGCTTTATTTTATTTAAAAATCCATATATACATAGATGTATGGTGTTCCTCAGGGTGCTGTTCTCTCTTCTTACATGACTTACCTCTCTCAGATGAAATCAACATCGTCAAATATGCAGATGACCTGACTGTTTCGCTTCCCGTTAAGTCTCAGCCAGAGTGCTTCAAATTAAATAGCTTCCTGTCGGACATCAGTCAGCGGTCTAAACTAAATGGCTTTATGCTGAATCCCTCAAAATGCCAGACTATTGACTTCTCCTTTAGGCATAAACGAGATCTACAAACACTAGTAAGCGCTCATGAAGCCTGTAGCATTGAGGGGACTAAAACTGAAACTAAGTCCAATGCAAAATACCTCAGATTAGTTCTATCTTCCGACCTTACTTGGTCATCCCATATACAAATGATTTCTAAGAAAGTGTTTCGTCTAACCTACTACATTAAGAAACTCAGACTAACTGGAGTCACTCAACCTCTGCTTTCACAATTTGTCAACTCTCGTATCCTACCTATTCTACCTTACTCCTCCCCATTAGTCTTTCCTGGGTTACTGAAAAAGGACTATACCATCCTGAGAAGGATGTTGAAGGTAGTTAGTAGGACTAGCGGTGTAAAACTCAGTCAGCTTGTCACTATATTAGTAGAAAGGCATCTGAATACATGGGAAAAATGGTCTAAAACCATACTCTCTGACCCCCAACACCCCCTCTATTCCCAACTCTCTTCTTGTATCTCATCAGGTAGAACCAGAAATCAGTACAAAATAATATATGCTCGTACAACCAAGTATAGGAACTCAACGATACCATATTTGGCCCGTGTTCTAAGTGGCAGAGACAATGTTAAGCGCGAAACCTGTGACTTGCTTTGTTGTTAATACCATAATTTCGCCTTTTATTTCTCTCTTATTTGTATTCTATAGTGAACACCTTCTTAAGTATACTTAGCTACTTAAATTATTATCATTGGCTTACTTTGTCTTTGTACTTTACTTTATTCCTTCTTTTGTGTATCTACTGGTTACGACTATATTATCACTATGAGTATTACAAAACTGTCCTGTCATTGACCATCATGTAATATTAGTTTTGTGGTTGTTTTTTTGTTCGGCACTATTTAACTGACAATCTTGGTTGTGAACGCCACTATCACCATCTTAAAATTTTGTATTTATGCAGGATTACTCACACTACCACAACAAACACTGCATTAGTGCTGACAATTAAAAAAACAACCCTGAAATGTTTATTTTATGATTGTTTAGTGTAGTTCAATCAAATTAACTGATCATGCGATGAACATTCTTAATATTATTTCATAGCTTCTTGTACGATATAGTTTTACTGTTCACCACGCATAAACATATCATAGCTTCCACTACCAATTACTGAAATATTATTCATTATTGGTGTTTATCTTCCTTTCTACTTGGTATTTTTATTTGCATTTTTTGTTATTTTTGTGTTTCTTTTTGATTTTTGTTGTCTTTTTTTATACTATTTTTTTGTAATACTCCTTTTAAATGTACGATGAAATTAGATGCAATATTGCAGATATGTGCTGAAAATTTCACACTGTACCACAAGTACTGTTTCTGGAATAAAAGTGAAATTATTATTATTATCATTATTATTATTATTACTATTACATACATACACAGACACCTGTGAATACATCATTCATCAATGCTGAACAAGAATAAACAAACAAGTTTAAGAGAACTGCGAAATAACTGATATTCATCAATTATGAAAGTCTATATTACCGGTTTGATGATCAGTGTCCAGAGAAGGAAAAAGTTAAATAGTGAGTGATAACACGTGAATATACAACAACAAAGGTCAAAGATTTAAAAAAAGCAGTACAAAATATTCTCTCCTAATATGTATATATGTACGAAAAATGATACACACATTTAAGAAAGCGAATAAGAAAAAAGATTTAATAACCATTTCAATGTCAGAAAAATGAATAGTAATAATAATAATAGTTCCTAAGACACCATTTCCTTTGTAAAAGAAATCCTTACCACAGATAAGTATTTGGAAGACATCATAATTAGAAGAATTAATTGAAGAGAATTAAAAAAACGACCATTTGTTCTTCATCATAGAGGGAGGAAGTGTGAAGATGAAAGCAGTGAGATACGCATATATATACAACATTGTTGATTCATAAATAAACTATAATTATCTACTTATTCAACTAGTGTTCTTGCTACCTTTTCCTTTATTTTTTAGGAGAATAAAACAGGATAGAAACTAAATAACAATGCCGTGGGAGAATATTACTATTATATAAATAAATAAATATGCATATATGTAGATAATGTAAAAGTTTAATGCATCAAAATGGAAATTAAAACGAGATGTTAGGCTGTGCAAAATATCTTTACACTGAATATAACCGGAATGCATTACACACATTAAAAAATACAAGTGAGTAGAAAATACTCTTGTGTTGTGGCAAAAAAATGGGACGAAAGAAATTGAAACGAGAAAAGTATAAAACGCAACAGTGCCTATTTATCTATTACTCAGAAATCAATTGACAATATATATATATATATATATATATATATATATAATATCATAATCGGCGCTATCTCATACGGGTAAAAGAATCGACAAGTATTACATAAAATCAATACAGAGTGTTAATTATCATCAAGAAAATCTACTAGGAATTTTTTGAATGATTCTTGACCACTTTTAGCATCCACATTGGACAGAAATTCTGATTTCAGTAGTTGAACATAATTCGGTCTATCGTCTTTATTCTTCATGAGACATGAATCAATGAATTTGCGTAAGGAATCTGGGTATGGACTTGACTCTGGTAATCGTGGTGACGGTTCATGGACAACCTAGAATATATATACATTTTTTGAAGAAAAAACTATTCCATTGTAAATTGAATTACAAAAAAATTAGAATTTTTATAATTAATTAAAAATAAACTGACCAATGGAAAAAAATTTTAAAACATCACACTCTTTGCTTATGTTATTTGCTTCAACTCCATCTGATGAAATAGTACAATGATTTATGCAGTGTAGCATTTCGGTAAGGTTTCTAGGCTCAAAATTTTAGTGTAACTCACATTCTTTAGCTTAAACTTTAAAATATTTAAATTTACATATATAAGGCCCAAAAAAGTGTCCACCCTAATCAGCACAATAACCAGAGAGCTACTTAAATTCTGTAAATAAGTGTATCAATAACCGATACAGAACAAGACATTATTGTAAGAAATCAGCCATATTAATCAACATTAAACATAACTATTCAAGTGTTGGTTTGTAGGGATTTGATTGGTAACAGGATTTTCATCATGAGCTGACATTAGTTAGAGAACCACTGGAAAACCTGGGAGTACTGGACAGCTGTTTCGTCCTACTTTGGGACTCTTCATCAGTACGCACCCACCGGGTAGAATTGGCAGAAGTTAGAATTCGTGGGCCATTGGAACGGGCCCCAGTGGCTAAATGGTATACGAGCTCGCCTTGTAACCAGAAGGTCCTGGGTTCGAACCGTGGTGGTGGGTGCGTACTGATGAAGAGTCCCGAACTAGGACGAAACAGTTGTCCAGTACTCCCCGGTTTTCCAATGGTTCTCTAACTAATGTCAGCTCATGATGAAAATCCTGTAATTAAACATAACTGTTTGGTGGTGTGAATATTGTGTCATTAACAGAACTTGCCTACAACTATAACTTTTGGAGGAAAAGATTTGACAACCTAACCCACACCTAATCTATCTTAGATTGGGGAGACAAATATGATTATTGTTTCCCACTTAAAACAAACTGAGGAATGCATAATCCTAAATAATGCAAACTAATAAGACAACAACCACTCACTTGTTGTGAAACAGAACCTGGTTATCGAAAAATGAAAATCTTAATTTTTCACTGTTTATGATATGCATTAAACTGATAAAATAACTATCGTTTGAACATGAAATATCAACTATTTTGTGACAGACATAATTAGAAAATAAATAGACTAAGCATAAACCTGAAAACGCAAGCTACAATACACTGAACAAAAGAGTAAAGAAGAGTGCCAGGAAAGACAAAAGAAAATATTATGAAGCCATGGCAAGTCAAGCAGAACAAGCTGCAGGCAAAGGAGACCTCACCACACTCTACCTGACAACTAGGTACCTATCGGGCAAACGTTCGACACAAATAAAGCCAGTAAAGGGTGACAATGGAAAGTCAATCACCAAAGAAGTAGAGCAAACAAAACACTGGGCTGAACACTTCAAAAGACTTCTAAATCGACCGCCACCTACAACGCGCCCAACAATACCAACAACGGAAGCAGAACTACCAGTGAACATTAACTCCCCGACGAGAACAGAAGTCCTGAAAGCAATCAAGATGCTAAAAGCTGGGAAAGCAGCAGGACCAGATAGAATCTCAGCAGAAGCATGGAAAATGGACCCAGAGACAACAGCGGACTTGATGACGCCACTACTAGAGAAGGTGTGGAAAGAGGGCAAAGTACCCGAGGATTGGAAAAAAGGATACTTATTCAAACTACCAAAGAAAGGAGACTTAAGTCAGTGCAAAAACTGGCGCGGAATTATGCTCCTGTCCATCCCAAGCAAAATACTAAGTCGCATCATCCTGGAGAGAATCAAACAAGCCAACCTAGATGAAAAACTTCGACCGGAACAAGCTGGATTCAGGAGAAACAAGTCATGTAACGATTAAATCGCCACACTACGGATCATCACTGAACAAAGCTTGGAATGGCAGTCACCTCTCTATCTCACTCAACTTCATCGACTTTGAAAAGGCCTTCGACAGCGTCGATCGAGAGGTGATTTGGCAACTACTTCGCTACTACGGGGTCCCATCAACAATTATACATCTCATCCAACAGTTAGTTGTACGGCAATGCTGCATGCCAAGTAATCCACAACGGGAAACTTACGGAAGCCTTCGAAGTGAGGACGGGAGTGAGGCAAGGCTGTCTACTATCGCCAGTGATTTTCCTGATTGCAGTAGATTGGATAATTCGACAGAAAACGGGCAATGAGGAAATAGGCATAAAATGGACTCACACAAAAAAGAACTTGGAGGATCTGGACTTCGCCGATGGTATATGCTTGATTTCCCACAAATTGGAAGATATACAAGTGAAAAGCAACAAGTTAGCATCAAAGACAGGATTTCAAGTGAACATTGAGAAAAGAGAGGTGATGAAGATTCCTGGCCAACACCACCAATGGCAACAACAGACAACAATCAGCCACCGTAAATGGGAGGAACCTGAAAGAAACAACCTCCTTTACCTACCTGGGAAGCATCGTTTCAACTACAGGCGGAACTGACAAGGATATCAAAGCCAGAATCGGAAAAGCAAGACAGGCTTTCATTACTCTCAAATCTGTGCTGGTCAACATCACAGAGCATCAAAAATAAGATCCGGATTTTCAATTCCAATGTGAAGTCAGTGCTACTATATGGATCAGAGACTTGGCGCGTCATAAAGAGCATCTCCAACAAACATCAAACCTTCACTAACAGTTGTCTTCGCTCAATACTCAAGATCAGATGGCCGGCCAGAAAAGATCAGCAACAGGGATCTCTGGGAGCGAACCAACCAGGAACCGATTTCGAAACAAACGGCCAGGAAGAAATGGAGATGGATTGGCTGGCCATACTCTGAGAAAACCACCAAGTGAGGTCACTAGACAAGCCATTGCTCGAGTGGAACCCGAAAGGGAAGCGGCGAGTTGGTCGTCCGAAGGTGACTTGGAGGAGGTCATGTGAAGAGAAGATGAAAGCATGTGGGCAAACTTGGAGCTAAGTGAAAACTCTAGCAGAGATCCGAACGCAATGGAGACGCGCGTCTGAAGCCCTATGTTCCTCTAGGAATTAAGGCAAATAATAATAACAGTAATACTCACCTGGACTAATTGCTGAAATACATTTTGTGATTGAGGATAACAAGGTTTCCCAGTTGCTAATTCCAGTACACTGAGACCAAGTGACCAAACATCGGAACGAATACAGAAGCCTTCATTCTCCCGTGTGTTAATTCGTTCAGGAGCTAAATAAGCTCGAGTACCTATATTGGTTAGCGCAATTGAATTCTCTAGATCAGCTGATATTCCAAAATCACAGACCTTTTTTATCAAACAAAACAAAGAGACAAAATAAATTAAGTGAACCGGAATTGAATGTTGGTATTTCAGAACGAGCTAATATATTAGATTTTTAGCTAGAAATTATCCCATATCCACTTACCTTTACTCGACCCTGACAATCAGCAAGCATATTAGATGGTTTTACATCACGATGTATAACTTCAAGTTGATGGAGATACTCAAGAGCTTCAACAACTGACAATACAATGTAAGCCAAGACATCAGGAGGAAAAATGCGACCGGAATTGTAAACCTAAAAGTGAAATAAACATATATACATACAGATTATCGAGAATACCTCAAACGCTATTTGTATTTGCATCTCCTTTGTACAACGTTTTTCACACTGATGTATTTAGCTAAAATGCAATAGGCACTTTAAAGCTAATAAATGAGTTAATAAAAAAGAGTACAGAGCAGCATACACATACACCACTTGGCCGTTAAATATTAAAATATTTAAGGACTAGACGTTAGCTTATTGTCTGAAACTAAAAAACTGATTAAAGAGTAATGCTGCAGAGAAATTTCATAGATCAAAGTGAAAAAGAAAACAATTATACGGAACAGTTTCTTGGAAGGTAATTGGTCCCCCCCCCAGCAAGACTTTCGTTGATATTCGCATGACTTGAAAAATTAATCTTCAAACAGAAGTGAATCACTTTACGTGTGGTATAATGATACGGTTATAATCATTTATATGTAACTGTCGTTTCTTAATCTTGTATTATGATGGTAATACCTGTTGAGGACATAACAGGTTCAAAAGCAGATACTACTACACTATTTAGGGTTGTAAGCATCGTCTTATGTGAGGTATTTTGCCAGCTCTGATCATGCGGAAATTAAATAACTTTGTTTCAGATGCCTCAAAAAAGTATAAAGCATAACAATTAATTTCACCGCGGACAGTAATTAACTGCCTCATTATAGCTAGTGACTCGTGCAGTTCACGATCACCACCCAATGAGGGATAGAACACAAAATATAAGCATGTTAACATCCGACTGCCAGATTAGCATCCAAAAACTTCTAATTTCGAATACAAAGCTACTGTTATTCAGCTGATTACGAAGTGATCAAATTAATCCAATCCTCAAAAACACAACATAAAGGGAAGCAGACAGTGCACATATATCTTCTAATGATCAGTAAACATGGTAACCCATGTTTTTAGTTTGGTATTTAGGACCTATTCAACTACAGAAGTATATTGGATATTTATGCCACAGTGCAAGTAAGAACGCTCGGAAAATTTGACTGACATTTTGAGGGCGAATGCCCAAAATCGTAACAATAAAGTATGACGACAGTGGTCATTTAAGTTTCAGATTTCCTAACTTCGTTTTATTTTCCCTATAGAAACTTGGAAAGTGAGAAAATCAGAAGTTTAAAATAACGACTAGAATATATGGCTATTAATGTACATGAATAATCCATAAAAACATCGGTCATCAATCACGAAGAGATATCATATATGATGCGCAAAGTGAATATTTCAACTCTGATAAGCCCGCATCGTGAAATTCATAGAAATTCATCCACAAATATTATAAATTAAACTGAATCCGTTAAAAGCCAAACAGTAAAAGAGTCAAAGGAATCCTTTTGTAGCCACATAAAAAATACTACAAAAACTGAAGCCAATTAATTTGCAAGACGAGCAGCATTTTGTTGCATGAAGTGTTTGCCACAATATTAAACCAACACATGAATATTTGTAAACACCTGATAATATTCAAAATCAGTATTTTTTGATGAATGGGAGATGAAACGAGACCCCCATTGTGAGCTGTAAACAAGTCTTACCATATTAAGGAGTTTACTTGCATCAAAGTTGAGGGAGTGGCATGACAGCGTGTATAATTACAAACAACTTACTTTCTTCAATAATTTATCCAAAGACGTATCCATTAGTTCCATGACAATTAGAACATCACCCTCGCAAAAGAGGCCACAATAACAAGTCACGACAGAACGATGGTTACAACGCGTACCAACAGCCAATTCACGAGAAATAAGAGGTCTGGACAGATAATTCAAATGAACTGAAATATGTTTGACAGCAAATTCATGTGAAGTGGGCGTGTGGACCATTTTTTCTACCCTCCCATAATAGCCAGACCCTAGAGGACAAAAAAATGAATGATTCATAAACATTAAAAAAGACTAGTGAAGTTTAAACTAAAACTGGAATAGACTTTACATTTAACTGTCTGTCTGTCTGTCTGTTTTCGACATAGAACTTTGCACAAATGTGCGGAAGTTCAAGTCACCACATTCCGTGTAGCACGCGAAGCAAGAGAAGAAAGTACAAGAAAAGCATAATAGAAACAGTGAGCAGAGGTGTGAGACAAAGGAGTAATAAAGAAATACAAAACAGTTTCATTGAAGATCATAAGTCACAGGGAGTGGATGCATCTGCGCCACTGAGAACGATTTTGAGCCATGTCACCAATTGTTTCCAACCATTGATTTTTACCGTCCCGAGGACCCCAGCCTGGAAGTCTACACCTTTCTACGTGGCTTAGACCAACTGTTGTGGATTTCATTGACTGATGCCAAGTTTTTGTTTGACCACCGCTAGCTTTTTTCCAGCCTGACCCTATATCCGCTAACATTGCTCGTCGAGGGAGGCGATGACTTGGCATACGTAACACATGTCCTAACCATCTCAGTCGATGTAGCTTTACGACTTCGTCGATTGATTTCCCCTGTTTACCTAGAACTCTACGCCTAACCTCCATGTTGCTCACCTTATTATGCCACTTTACACGGGAAATAGAACTCAGGCACCTATGATCAAAGGCAGCTAGTCTTTTCATGTCTTCCACTCTGAGTGGCCAGGTCTCACAACCATAAAGGAGGACGGAGCGGACTGATGAGCAGTACACCCGCCCTTTGGTCGATAGTCGAACATCTCGTCTACTTTACATTCAAAGCAGCTACTAACTGTGCATAGCACAGATCATAACTCAGGACCTAGTTTAAAGATGAACCTCTGCAAAGAAATTGAATAAAATTAAATTACATATATAAAATAAACAGATTGTCCAAGAATCAGTTTGTTGTCTAGATCATGCAACAAGCACTTCCTATTTCATACGTAGTTGTAAGCAATCTTTATATCATTTAGATGATGAACGAAATAGAAGAATTTTGTACCAAATTTTACCAAAACTCTTTTACAATAAATGCTAACATGAATTGAATACACTATAAAGACTAAATTGTTTTACTATGTTAAGCGACTAACACGTTTGTCCCACAACTCAAGCACAGTAAGCCTAATTTCATGATTTAAGCATTGACATGTTCTTATCATTAGTTTAGGAGTTTTAATTTTACTTAACATGCTCCGGTTCAAAAAACTCGATGATAAATAAGACTTTATGATAGATTCAGATTATGTTACATTTTCAACAACGGATAATGAAAATAACTAGTCAACACAACCAAAGTACTAAAAGGGATAGTGTATGATACGAAGCATAGACTTTAATTTACACTACAATATAAATGGATTACCTAAATGAGCTACCTTCCGTAAATCCTTCGCATGTATTGTAATGGTCTCAGAACCTAACGATATTGTGGCTTCTTCCTTCAGTCCCAGAGGAAACAATACAGGGTCACGAACTGGTTGGCTATAAAAGAAAGTTCATGAAGAAAGAAAACTTGCAAGCTAAAAGTCCACTGGGTCGATTAATTGATAAATCACAAAATACATGGAAAAAATGTGAAATTTAGTACAGTCACTTCCACAACATCAATGATCTAACATTGTATGTTGACGTTCGATTTACGTGTATATATATTCCCGGTGAAAAATTTTTCATTCCAATTTCCCTATAACATCCATCCAACTAACCATTTTTAACTGACTTAGTTTTGTTTGGATGCGCAATAACGTAGAGCATAGATTCAGAGTGCCACGTCATAAACATAGTGCATTTAACATATAAAACATAGAACTAGGAGAAAGACAAAAGGGTACACATGGAAACAGAATAAAATTAATAACTTTAAGTGACAAGGAACATATATGCGCTACTCGACTAATTCAGATTTGCTTCAACGGGGAACTGCAAGTCTTTCACTTCCTTCAAGATTTCAGTAAGCTAATCAATAAAAAGCGAGAAGAGGAAACCACATCAAATACTAGTGTGTACTGTCAATACTATACTTTGCAAGAAAAAAATCAAAAGTTAAAAGCATAAAGTATTCAAGAAACAGGGAAACAAGTATGTGGACAAGAGAATATAAATGATCTGATGTCCAGGATTGTTTCAAACTTTAAAATTGGTACAAACTATGGATAAAAAATCAGCCAATATTCTGTCATAAGACATAGAGTGATTATATGAACCAAAAAGCATAATGTTTACACAATTTATATTTAACAGGCTCTCATTATTTTGTTTTTAATTTATAGAAGTCAGGATGGATTAAAAAACGCTAATCAATTGTGACTAATCCCTCTACACCACTAAACGATAAACTGATTATCTTTTTTAAGTGTCTTTAGGCGTAATAATGACTGACAGAAAAATAACTAGGACAGCTATCAAACGTGTTCAAAAGAACGAAAACTGTTTGTGGTTGCCAGGCTTATTGAACAACAGTTAAACGAAAGAAAACGTGGACGCAAAAGTAAAAGTAGAACACTGATATCGGTTGAAGATTTGCAGCACATTAGAGATGTACGAAAAAGTATTTCTGCTCCGCCTTTTAAAATTGCAGGAACTTCATTTGTTTGTGCTACATTACTAGTTAAACACAGTGGAGTTACATAAGAGAGTTGGAAACCACTGGCTAAAAACCATAGATGCACATAGACCTCAAGAAGTGAAAGTATCGAATACTCGTCACCAGCAATCGTAGGGATGCAGCCTTCAATGTTTGTCTTTTGCCTTGAGGGCTATACGCTGTCAAAGACTCAAGCAGTGACCTCTAAAAAAACACAAAAATAGAGAGCAACAGCCTAATGAGGACCTTTACTCCATTCAACACTGTTGCAGCCAAACGATCCTACTGTACCGCACACTTTATTCTCGACCAATTATTTTACTGCCATGATACCAATTTGGATGTGTAGGAAGTTTTGCATCATTTCAACTACCTTCCCAATTGATTTTTACTAGGCTGCTTTTTTGTTTTTAATCCTGGGGATGTTATTTTTGAGTCGCTAAGCAGTTGTATTCAGAAAACTACCTTGTAGCGGGACATTCGGGAACTATGGGAACCAATGGTTGATAGCGATGGCCAGCCAATCAGCCAGTGTCGTTATGTAAAATACCTTTGTACAGAAATGGCCTATGTCAGTGCAGTCTCCCCAGACAGAGTATAGGGGATCGTGCAACTGTGGCTCGAGTTGTCGGGATCGAAACCAGATCACAGTGCAGGCCCGGTGCTATCAGTTGTAATGCAGAGCATACTGCACACTGTCAAACATTCAACCAGAACGCCTACTTGATTCCTCTTCTGATCTTTTCCTCTGAATATTTTTATACTAATTTTTCTGGTGTTTCTAGATGTTTTACCAGGATCGAGTGAGCATTTCAACAAATGAATAACAATAATATACCCTTTCACCTAGGGCGTATTGGTCAAAGTATAATTCGTTTTCAGTGGTATTCAGTTCGGGCACTGAATATCTACGCTTTAGCTTTATGAGGAATTAAACGTTGAAAATTCGGTTAGGCATAAAGAGGCGTGATTTATTCAGGGAAGGAAAATCTCATTTAGAAGTTTTAATACGCTGAAAAATACATTAGCACACAAATCTAGTGTCAGTCGATGAGATTCAAATGATCTAAATAGATTAGAAACTGACTGAATGCTGAGGTCATCCTTAAATCAAAGACCCCAAGGTTAATAACCCTAGAAAAATAAGATGGAAGGACATAAAAAATTTCGGTTGACAATCCGTTACATGAAGCAATTCTTATCAATGTTGCATAATTCCAATATGTCATAGTAGTCCTTTCACAAGGTCAGCCAGATTCCATACACACACTCATTATTTGAGGCCTTTTGGTTTAAATTTCTCATGCTGTGCAATGCCTGTCAGGTTATTCAGGATATGAAAATAGTGCAGTCTAGACAAAGTAGAGTGCTTTATCTCAACCAGATAAGCAATCTGGAGGAAATTTCAACTGTCTGCATCCATCAAGAACGCGAACAAACAAGAAAATAGAACAAAACAAAACATTTAGATACTAGTTGAAAAAAATGTAATGGGAGGTCAAAACGTAGATAAAAAACACGGAGTGGCAAAAGGCAACTCACAATTAACCAGAAATAACGGAAACAATATGAGATAGACACATTTAGTAACAATACGTCCAGAAGACACATGAAGGGTAAACATAGTACTACAAATATTTCACCAAAAACATCTCAGATACTGACTCAACCAAGAACTACTAGATAACGTTAACTGACGTTCGAAGAATTCAATCGGCTACTTGATCAGAGGCTTATTTACAATTTATTGAGACGAAATAAATCAAATCTATGCACTTACAGACCAGGTACTCCACAGCTGCCTACAGGCATGACGCAGTTACTCAAAACACCCGCATCTACTTTAAAGCTACTGTGGAACGTGTAGACACGAAAACCTAATATTTCGGAACATTCCCCTTACATTATTTGTGTTTATTTGTTTTGAGATACACCGTCGCTATCCATAAATAATCCTTCCTTATTTTTCCTATTTAAGATTTGTTGAAGTGACTCGAGGGGTTGGCAGTTCTATTGGCTTTCAATAGGTCCATAATGCATCTTCTAGATACCAAAATACATCGAGGTCTGACGTTATTAGAATAACGCCGAAATAACATAGTTTCAGCCAAATGGACCATCAAGTTGTATCCGAATCTGGAAGGATTGTCAGCGTCAAAATTCTTTCAACAAAATCATACATCAAACAGCTCAGATAGTTGTGAAATCTGTGAATACATATACCAATAAGTTACGAGACGTTTTGTTTCACAGCGAAATTTCTTGACACTTTAGTGTGTACCAACTCAAATCAGATGTAGGTAGATTAGACTGCAGGTAATGAGTAAATGTCATGCATAATTCGGAGAAGAGGTGAGTGACTAATGCTTATGTTTAAAGCTCGGAATAGTCACAAATTATGGTGTGCCAGGTGGAATGAGATGCTCGAGCGAAAGGTAGTAGGTCAAACAAGGGAAGATTGTCAGACAGTATCATCAGCTATAATGGTGTGACCAGTTGTTTTTTTGTTCCTTTACGCTCCCAATGGAACACGGGGATTCAAGCTAGAGACTTGAAGTTTCTGTGGCAGTGGTGTTTATTTTACGGTATGGGTTTGTCAGCCCCATGCCCAACCTTCCCTCTTTACCACTGTTATTACTGCTTTGGGGGGGGCAAATGAGTGCACCGCTGGGGATCGAGCACCGGATCGAATGCGTGGCCAGCGAACATTCTACCGCTCTACCACCAACGCAGTAGCGTCACGAGCAGTTGTGCCTAGTACTCCAAAATAATTCAACTTTCTACATGGTTTAAAAAATAAACGAAAGATCCGGGTTTACAAGGCATTTTTTATTCATTGAATAGGAGTTATATAAATGTGGCAGAATATATATTATGGTTACTGGAAGTTAGATTATAGCCTTAAAAATGAAACTGATATTGATGTATGGAGGCACCAATGACAAAATAAGGCACCTAAAGACAAGTCAGGGTATTTTAGATATTTTATGTCAGATGGCAGGCCGACTCATCCTGAATAACGCATAGTCGTGAATAGTAACCTCATATTGGTAGTCTACAGCACTCCTCATCCAACAGTGGTTTCTGACTTTCACCTCCTACGTTGACTCATTAGGCTAAACGCTCGCTATCAACAGTACACGCCTTTCATCCCGCTGTCGTTCTGCGTTCAGTAGTAGGGGCAAGATCCCCATCTAGCTAAGCAATCGTCATCAAACTACGATTCGGATACATATACACATCGTTTTAGGTGTAATTAATTTGCTTTAATGTGTCCTTTGTCTAAGCAGACTAAGCCACTATGGAGTTGGAGGATAAGAACCTGCGTTCTTTTACAGAGGGCTTTTCGTAAACACCAACATCACTCCATCTCTCGAACACTGACAGAAAGATAAGTGATTAGGAAGATACTGTAGAAAGTTAGATGAGTTGGAAAAATAGAAGAACAGCTGGCAATATAGTTTTAACCATAGTAGTGCAGCCTGCTTGACTGATTCGTTCAACATAACTGGCTAAATTCACGGCGTAATTTTCTGTGATGAAAACAAGCGTAATCTTATTAATCTACAGTTTTAACCGCTTTCCTATCATTTACATTTGGAAAGTGCTTATCAGCAACTAGGACCTACTAGGCAAACTGTAGAAAACAAATAGATATATTTTCAGACCGCATTCAACCTGTTCATGTTTCCCATAAAATTTTAGCCGAGGGACAGCAGAATAGGATGGCTGCAGATGTAATGTCGAAGTGTCTTCTTGCACGATATACGTAAACGGCAGTTTAGAATTTCCAGCTGTTTAAAAAATCGATAAAACAGCCAAACACACGTCAGGATATAGGTAATTGACTGACGAATTTACCTCTTTCCAAGCCAGAACAAAGACAATCACTAATAACTTGGTGTTCTTGAGACTTTTTATAAATCTTTCCCCTTACTTTTATTCTAGCCCGATAATTCCACAGCTTAATATGTCTGGCGTTATATAATGAAGTGTAGCTTTGCGTTCGTGACTAACTGCTCAGGGGAGATGTTCTTGGTTTTTTTATATGAGGAAGGCCGTCCTATCACAGAACAACCTTATCTGATACAAAAGAGCCCAAAGCCACAGTGCTCTTTACTGATGACTTTACGAGATTGGTTTATCGCTCATGATTGCCTCAAGGTTTTGACCAGCAAACCGTCGGTAAAGCGCTGTAGGCTAGCTGGCCACTTAGGACAGGCCCATATTTGATAAGAAACACTTTCAGACTCTCGTGAATTGACTTTAGAACATAAACAACATTCCGATCAAATATTCTGAGAACTTCATCCCATGAAAGGCAAATTTCAAACGCTTTAGCAATCACATTATTTCTGAAGAACACGTTAAATACTTCACTCGTTGCACTATGTGAGTCGGCGTCACAGTGATTAGGACTCTCGCCGACCGTGCATATGGTGCGAGGTTCGATCCCCTGCCGACGCACACCTGATATCTACGGTCGGCCTTCAAAATTTGGGCTACCGATATCACATGCTGAAAATTCCATTCCTGTACCAAAAAATACAGTGTAGAATCAAGCTGTAATCAGAAAAAATAAGAAGTCAAGATTATTTGAGGAGAGTTAGAACACATCCACAGAATATGACTCTATTCCAAACTTAAAGAATAAGCATGTTCATAGCACAACGGAAGAGCACAAAATGCCACTGGAGGCAATCTGTTTGTGTTCACGTTGAAACGGAAAAGTTAAGACTCGAAAGTACACCGGTCTTCATATGTACTAGATGCGTTACGTACAACTCTGACAGTGACATGACGCGAATGGTAAGCTTGTTACTCAGGGAGCTGTAGGGTTTCCAGAAAACTGCAGAGACAATCTGTGTAAAATCTTAGTATCTGCTGATTAAAAGTCGTTGACCTTTAATGTGGCAGAATATGGCGATTCTAACATTGTGGGTCAGAATCTGAATTTTTAAAGGCTCTTAGCCTATTCAATGGTGTCACAGTGGTGTGATTTAGTGGGAAAGAGTCTGAGGAAGGCATTTGACGTGGAGTGCTAAAGGAAATTGTAGGACCGGGATAGCGTTTGAATGAACCACTAAATTCACTGGATACTTCGTTGCAAAGTTTATATTGAGTACTGACTTGTAGGGCGAAGAAAACTGAACTTGTATATATGGCGGGAATCGAAGCACTATGCGTGTTACACTGGTGATCGTATATTTATACTGTTGACTTGTGGGTTCGGTCAACTGGTCACCTATTATTCTAAACCCCAGAGTCTACGAATATGAGGATGGGAAGCAGACCGTCAGTAATGATGGAAGTAACTCAATATTATAATAGAAATTCTGTTATATTTATTTAACACATACCTGATTATACGCCTGTTTTCCAGCATTTTGCACCGCAAGTATAATTGGTTTAGGATTCGAGTCAGCCAGATATACTGTAATTTAGAGTGAATACCCAAATTCCTTCGTCGATAAATATTTGTGGAAGAGGACTGAAGATAGAAAATATTCAGGAACATTTTGTCCTGCCTTTCACTAAGACAAGCTCAAACTCGATTTCCTCATTTCGTTGAATGATAAATTTCGTAATGTTTTCACTACTCATTTTCACTTCTTAGTACTCGTATTCCTCTTCAAATTGTTACTCATCACTCAATCAGTTATTTGCACAATTTCTCGGTCACATAAGTTTATTCAATGTTTTCACACACGTCTACTTTTCATTTCCTCAGAATTTCTAATCCCACTAATTCCACTACCTGAATATTCAAAGATTAATATAATGCACAAGAACTTGAAAATGTCCGTACTCTGATGACAAGTTTCGAGTAGAAGTCTCGTTACTGTTTTATATGATCCTCTAACAGTTGCGAGCTCTCACTCTTATTCATGGTTATTCGGACTGTAAGCTTCTGTACGTTTCTTATTCTGCTGTAACTTTTCGGGAAGACACATGAACATATGAGGCGAAGAAATACAAAATCTTCCCTTTTTCCACCAAGCTTATCGGTTCAGCGTGTCTCTAAGTACACAGAAACAAAGCCTGCTATCATACTAAGGGCAACTATAATGCAAGTGGCCTCTCCAATAAAGAAGCCCAAAAAGAAAACAGTAATCTGGCTTAAAAACTAAGTGGTAAACAAAAAGTTAACAGATCTTGGGCATTCGCTTTGAAATGAAAATAGGATGGTGAATTCATGACCAAATAAAACGGTGACTTAGGAGTTGTCACTTTCAGAGTAAGCTCCTTCTTCTGGGCCTGCATACGCTGCGGCAAATACGAGTACGTCCTAAATGAGAAATGCAGATCAAGGGCAGCCGGCCTTATGCAAAAGACGAAATATATGCTATAAGAAGTCAGAAAAGCCAAACTAAGAAAACGGAGACAGATTGAAGTGCTCCATTAGTGACAGGGACTGAAGATGAGATGACAGGAGCATTCTCATCTACGTGAGCCAAACTCGGATATTAAGCAAGCAGGAAACTGAAGTGCCAGCTTGTCCCCAAGCTTCAGTAATGCTACAGAGAAGCAAGATGGGTAGAGTGAACAGCCACAGAAATGCAAATGATTAAATGAGAAATGGCGTACAAAATATGAAGAACGATCCCTCTGGAATTGGGTGCTTGGTTAGGAAATTCACCAGGAAGTCTGTATACTTCTCGCCACCTGACGGACAACAGAGTCAGTAGGACTTAACGCTAAGTAATTCCCTGCATCCCCCTGGCATTCGCACAACTCAAACCACTTAGGAATTATTCCACTGTCCACGCCAAATATGCATTACACTCATGATTTTGCAGTGGTTATCTACT